GGCGCCGTTCCCGCGCGGCTGCGGCGCTGGGCTTCCCGGGCCGATCCCGCGGCGCGGGGCACGGCTGGAGCCTCCGATCCCTTTCCCCGGACAATGCAGTCGGAAGGCTGGGCTATTCCAGTTCGAGCTTCCTCTTGCAAAAGGAAGAACTCGAACCGCTGCCTTGGCCTACACGGTCCAAAGATCAGTCCCAGACGCGAGCATAGAAAGATGCTGATCTGTGTCTCACTCGCGGCGCCAGCCTCGGTGCTCATCAGCTCCAGCACCTCCGAGCGCGCGCGCGCGCACACACACACGCGCGCGCACACACGCGCACACACGACACTCCCATCACATTAAAACGCGCGCTCCTGGCACCGTTGTTCATGAAGCCAACGCGCATAATGAGTGAACAGGTAAATAGGTACTCAAACGAGCAGCCCTCACCTGTCCGATGCACAATTTACTCTCCCTACTGGGAATATGTGTAGCTTATCGTGTTTTAGGAACGATCTGCTGTTGTTTGTGGTTCCCTCTCCTCTTCTTGCAGAGAGAAGCCAAAAAGAAAAAAAAAAAAAACCTGTTCCATTGTCAGAGTCTTCTTTCTGATAAGCTACCCAGCAGTGTTCTAAAACGCTTAGGCATGCGTTCGGTGTGTTATCTGTTGTTTTGGGGTGTGATTTCCTGAGGGAAGCAAAAGAACATGTATTTCGTGGGGCTGGAGGCCAGGACGACAATCCGCGTGTGTGGCGGGCTGGAGAAGGCGCGCCTCGCACTCCCCCGGGGCTGCACCGGCTCCGGCACCGCGGCCTGGGCCCGGCCGGTGCAGCCGCGCGCTGGCTGGCGGGCTCCGCCGCGGCCGCTCCGTGTTTTCCCCCATCCCGGCTTCACGTTCAAGGTTTAGCTGCGAGGTCACGTCCATTGACGTCAGCTCCCTGTCTCCCTCTACGTCCGGCTACATTTACATACATCAAGGAAATTAGGGCATTAAAAAAATATGCAAATCCTGAGCGGAGAGGAGCGGGTGCATTCCTGGCGCGATCGCCTTTTATTGAAGCTTTTAATTAAAGGGGCCAGTTGGCGAGCCCCTGAAACAACCGCCAAAACCCCCCAAAAGAGAAAAATAAACGCTGTAGCCTTCGGGAACAGTTGTTTCGGCTGCTGTTCTGTGGGCGGCTGAGGACCGCCGGCTGCCAGGCTCGGAGAACAGGTTAGAAAGGCAGCTCAGCCCATGCATAATCAGGGCTCCGCGGCGCCTCCATTCTTTCTCCTCCTCCTCCTCCTCCTCCTCCTCCTCCTCCTCCTCCTCCTCTTCCACCCCTCTCGTCCTCCTCCTCCTCCTCGTCCTGCTCCCACTCCTGTTGGTTCCAGCGTGTATTATTTTTAATACTGATGCATATGTAAAGCTATATTTGCATTTTTAAATTCTTGACAATTTCAGGTTATATCGTTTTATTGATTCCCTTCCCCCTCTTTTGCTATTTTATTATGTCTATCTGTCTCTGTTGTCCTTTTCTGTCTGTCTGTATTTCTTTTTTTTTTTTGCCGAATGTCTGCTGCTGTCCTTTTTGCTCGATAATATACACAGTTGTCTCCCTGCTTCTGTTTATTTAAGGTTACAAATGTGCACCTCTATCCTGTCTGCAAGGCCAGATGTATAACATCTTGGATTGGGTCATAAAAGAACAGGCACGTTCTTCTTCCTTTCCTGACATAACCCTCCATTGACTAATACTGCCCATCCTTCAAGGTTCAAAGTTGGATTGCTTAATTAACTTCATATTAACAGAAAAACAGTTCGAGGCTCGTCCATTTGAGATACTGTAGATATAAGTGAAGTGATACCAACATTTCTAAGGAATTTCTGTGCTAATTAGCTGAGAGATGCGGCATTCACTGCCTATTGCTTTCTAGCATTTCTTATTGTAAAAAAAAAAAATATTTTTTTAAATGTGTAGACAGCAGTGGACAGCCTTCTGTGAGGAAGACATTTTCAACCATGTTGTATGTGGTACTGTATCTGCTGCATTCAAAATGCACTGATTCTCATTTTTATCTTAATGTGGGTGGAAACACTTTATCTCGATTGAAATGCACCCGTGATTCCTGACTTTGAAATGAAAAACAAATACACAAGCAAAACAGTTGACTATCTTAAAGCCAGCTGATGTGCCCTACAATATACAGGCCTTGACTTGGATTTCAAGCAATGGTGATTCTTTCTTTTCTTGCCTTTTTTAAAAATAGGATTGGATGTTCCTTCCTGAAATATAGCTCTTTAGCATGATGGCTTTTGAAAAGGACATACAGATCTAGAGGTATATCTGTATCTATTCCACTTTGAAAATATCTCCAAAGCTATCGTTTTAAAAACAGTCAATCCCTAATTGCATAGCCACAAAGAAGAGAAAATAGGCACACATGCAGCTTATTCGATTAGACAAGTCCAAGTGCATGCACAGGTAATTATGACTTACCTGCACGGATACCGAGGCAAGACAGCCCGCCCCGTGGCTTTCGTGTACCCGTATTCATATGTGCTTCCCCCTCACACCCACAGCCAGTGCCATCTCTCCTGCCGGCCTCGCCAGCATCCATTTTTAGCACCCTTAATTCTGATGGCATTCCCAGCCTTACCTCTAGCTGTAGTTTGTCCAAGCCTACACCAAAGTGCTCATATGATATGCTACCCAATAAAAAGTGGTCAGATGGCTACACGTAAAACATTAAAAAATGGAAACACACTCATCCTCCAGGCTCGCCTTTACCTTGCCATATATAGCGAGATCACGATGCCTAAAGTACGTTTTCGGCACGTTTTATGAATAATGGCAGGATTCCACAACGGGTCACAGAATTGCCACTTTCGGGGTGGGGGCGGGGACCCGGCTGCGCGAAACAGGCTGAATTCTCCCTCTGAGTTTGGCTGCAGGTAAATCGCGCGTGGCTCTTCGTTGCTGCCTGGACTCTCACACATACCTGCCTGCCTCTGTGCAGGAGCAGGAGCGCCACACCGGCCACGCTGCAAGACTGGAGCCGGGGTGCACAGTCGGAGGGCAGCGGCGAGGAGTGGGCGCGTGTAGGGCTGTCTGGGCATGCATGTGTGACCAGACGCGAGTGTGCGCGCGCG